CGGTTCTTTCTCGTGTAAAAATAGCACTTGCAAGGAAAAAGGCTCACTGCATTGATGCCTTAGTCGTTAAAGATAGTATTGTAAATCAGCTACGCTTTTAAGTATTTTTAAACCGAGCATGAGTTTGGGTACGTCGCAGCGTAACGATATGATGCGGCTATGCTTATGACGTCGTCGCTGATGGCAGTGACGACGATGAATTACGATGCACTTTGCTATGCGAGATGTATTGATCCTGATGCCCGACTTGTAAATGGGGTGATTGAGATGGGGTGGGAGACATTGAGAAATCAAGAAAACGCTTTTATAAAAGCCGGCGGGCCCGCGCGAGCGAATGTTACCTGACTCATGACGAAAGCCGGATAACGATCCAGTGACAACCACATGTCCCCTAGGTACATCGGAGATAATCATAAATTGGCGCTTTTGTTGGATTACGACGGTACGTTGGCGCCCATCGCCACGCATCCCGACCTGGCGATCTTGCCGCTCGAAACGAAGAACGTCTTGCAAAGGTTGTCGAATATGTCAGATGTTTACATCGCGATTATATCAGGCAGAAACGTGATCAATGTAAAATCGATGGTCGGAATAGAGGGTATCACGTATGCCGGCAATCATGGACTGGAGATTCTGCATCCGGACGGCAGCAAGTTCGTCCATCCAATGCCTGCCGAATTAGAGGATAAGGTGGCCAGTTTGATGCAAACGCTTCAGGAACAGGTACTATCGACCAGATTACTTGTAATCGCTCCTTGTAATACAAATATAGATATGTGTGTGAACGTGTTATCGCTTGAAACATTTTTCATTGATAGAAGGTGATGGATGATACGCAATGACTATGAAACTGTTAACGCGCGTGAAGCTATTCATTTAATAAATATTAAATGAATATTAAATATTTAATAATTATGCGAAATATCATTAAGAGATCGTGATCATAAACACATATTTATCCCGGTAAAGTCAACACATTTACGTGTCTTGCTTTTGTGATAGCTCTGCAGGGACGGTGCTTGGGTCGAAAATAAAGGTGCGCTTCTCACGTTTCATTATCGTGAAACTCCGATGGAGAGTCGTCCCAGGATGGTCGATCAGGCTAAACGACTTATCGAGGGTGCTGGATTCAAGGCCTGTACAGCTCATTGCGCCATCGAGGCGAAACCACCGGTCGAATGGAACAAAGGACGTGCTTCTATTTACATCCTGCGCACGGCATTTGGTCTAGATTGGAGCGAGCGTATTAGAATTATATACGCCGGCGATGATGTTACGGACGAGGACGCGATGAAGGTACAAAATTGATCGTTTCTGCTGCTCTTGTCCGAACGAAAATAGCCAGCTTATCAAGAACGACAGTTTGCATAGTGTATCATCAACATAGGAATTTAAATCTGTTTGTTTTTATCTAGGCATTGAAAGGTATGGCGGCTACTTTCCGCGTGGCATCATCGCACATCATTCGCACGTCCGCGGAGAGACGTTTGCCCAGTACGGATTCGGTTCTGACGATGTTGAAGTGGGTCGAGAGGCATCTCAGCAGGCGCAAGCCTCGCAACAGCATCGACATCCCGGGCATCCCATCACGATTTCGACGCGGCAGTGGTGGTATTACGATGGAGATGTCTTATACCCCGCCAAAAACACCTCTCGAATCATAGGTGATGCTCAAATGTTCTCTGTTAGCATATCAGGTATATGTGGAGTGATATATATCTATCATAGGATTATAATGTACTCGTAGCGTAAAGTCAGCCAACATAGAGGAGCAAGAGATAACAAAGAAATCACAGCTGAAAGCTGAAAAGAAATTAACGAGGCCCATGCCTAAACTTCATGTTGAGTATAGGTGTTAAAGAGACTCGCGATCAAAAAATCCAAAGAAACGAAATGATTCTTCTTAATTGAGAAGTGTAATAATAATATATTATATTATCAATAGAGTCGTTAATGCGGAGTTTAAGAAGTACGAAGAATCAAATCGTTACGTTGACTCTCTAGCTTTGTCGATGTATTTTCTGATCGGTTAGACCTTAGTCCGAGAAAAATATTGAACTCGTGTACGAAGTACATTACGATGTTTTCCATGCAACTGAAACTTCTATTTTGGCTCTGTACAACAGAAAGATATATATATTATATATCTATATTTTCGATGTACGTAATTTTACCGAATTTATAATTGTATCATATGAAACACGATACATACTAGTTTCTCCACGAAGATATAGCATTTAAATACTTAGTTTTTAGATTCGCGTCGCTCAGTAAAAAGATAAACATTCGTCAGATAACACTGAATCCCGCATACTATCTTTATTAGTTGCGTTTTATCTCGTTAACGATTTCTATCGGTAGAATAGCAATGACGAAAGAATACTTCTTAAGATAATACTTACGAAGTATGTTTTTCTTTACAAATGTTTTAATTAATTTATTTGTTTTTTCTTCCTCTTTCTCCTCCTTATTTTATCAATAATGTTCCGAATACACACATATTACAAGTATTAAAAATATTAATCATTAAATTTTTGGATAAACATGACACTAAGGATTTTTTATTGGATTCTATAATTTCTCTGAGAAAAATAAACGCATCGCGGGTGCAAGTTATCTCTGATATTAAAACTAGGTTCTTTAACAGAGCAATTGGAATCATTCTCATGTCTAAGAATAGAAATTTAATTCACAATATTATAGACTGTCTACTTATTATACAATTATACAATCCCGTAACAAGTTATCCAAAACCGGAGTGCCAATTTCTTTTTCGTGTCATACAATTTACAATAAAAATGTCATTGTCATATAATTACAATGAAACCTTAACGCACTTTCAGAAATAAGAATTATGTTAATCTATAGCGAACGCGTAAATTGTGGAAACGTATGATTTCGTGCGAGAGAGCAAAAAAAAGCAAAATCTAAAAAAAAATAGATTTAAATTAAATTTTACACTTTTTGTAAGTAGAATAAGATATACGATGTATGTAAAAAAAAAAAGAGGTAAGAGAAGATTGCTGGTATTTATACTGATATAATTACTTTTGTGCGAGTGATAATAAGTAAGAAACGGCTACGTTAGGATCTATGCCTTCTACTTAAAAAAATATGTGTCGTTACGCATTTCTCCATGCGCTGCCGGATAATACTGACTGATACAAACTGATACTGACTGGTACAAACTGGCAACGCGTATCCGTCTCTTGTCACACGAGCTTGTTTTGAACTGAGAAACTTTACGAAAGTAACTCGGTAACGTCATCAGTTGCACAAAACACAATTTAATAAGTCACAATGGGGAGACAGGCGTCTTTGAAGATGTGACGAAATTTAGCAATTTTAACAAATTATAATTAAGCAATGATAGAGATAGATTCGTTCTGGGGTAAAATTGTACATGAAATTTTGTAAACGAATAATATATTATTTATTAAAAATTACCTCGAACACCTTACGAAAGGGGATTACTTTGGATTGACGACATTTTAGTCTTACTTATGTTAGCTTCGTTTTAAAAACGGGCTTTTTAAAATTCGTTTCCATAAAGTGTCACGTTTTATTCTACAATTACCTTCTTTTATATAGCTTCCCTATATTTACTTCTTTAATCCGCTTAGCGTCCGGAACGTTCTTTCCATCTGCCACCCGCAACATGGCTCAGAACCGTTTTATAATCTAAATTGAAATTAGTCTGCTCGTTAATAAGTTAATTATTGTTGGTTGCACCATAGAGCAAAAAAGTTTAGCAGTTAAAAGGTCAAATGTTGCGTAATATCTAATGAGAGCGATTAGCAATTAAGTATATAGATACATATATCAACTATATCGGTATCTCGGAGGCTTCGGCGCGTTGCGCGAGCGCAGGTCAGATTCTATAATCTCGTACTTTCGCCTCTGTATTTATTAGTCAATTAAAATAATCGTCGGTCATTGGATAATGAACGAGACTGACGATTAGGTAGACGAGGGAGAAGAAGACGAAACAAAAAAAAAACGGCAATCAATATAAGGAAAATGTAGGCATGTAGAGCAAAATATAAATTACTGTTACATCGAGGATACATCTATCGGTACGCACAACGTCATCTCTGTTTAAAGAATGTGTAGAAAAAAAAAAGTATATGTGTACATAACGAGATATATATGCATAAATATACGCGTACGCGCGTAAAGTGTCCTACCACGTACCCTTAAAGCAAAAATCTCTACCCTTTCCCTGACTCCTTAAAAAAAACAAAAAGGAAAAAGATAGAAAAATATTCTACATTTTGTACGAGTACTTACTACTTGGTTGGTTTTCACCTCGTTATACCATGTTATCACTGTAAGTGTGTGTGAAACAGAAAACGAATCGCGCGAGATAGTGCGCGGGTAAACGATTAAAACTGTTTTGCTACCGTCATTGTCGAGCCGACTACAAAATACAGTGCAGAAATAAACGATGTTTATAAATCATTCTCGCTAAATCATTCTTCCTTTTTTTTTCCACGCTACTCTACCTAGATCCGCTTTGGACGATCTGCGATTGGTGCGTTGGAGTTCAAAGTACAATTTTATTTGCAATTCGATGTGTTGTGTAACATGAAAAATATTTGAAGAATTAAAAAATAAAATACACACAAATATATGAAATATATATCATTTCATAAAACACGTACGAATGCTATAAAATTATATACAAATGGTATTTAATAAAAATTCTATTCAATTTTTATCTGACGCGAATTATGTACCGGAGGTCATTTAAAATGGATTTTTACAAAGAAAAGAAGAGATTAAAATTTCAAAGGCAGATCTTATTCTGTAATTTTTAACGATAGTAACAATATCGTGATACTATTGTTTTACCATGTATAAAACCTGCACAACGACAATGTAACGATATTGTTACTGTTATTAAGAGTTAGAATAGGAACTTCAGTTTTATTTGCAAAACGTATATAAATAAATCAAATTATATTATTATAGTTTCGAATAAAGCAAACTTCAAGCTATTATGTTGTATTTAAAAAAGTAGAGCATAATTAATAAAATAACAAATAAAGAAACGTTCTCAACACATATGGCTTATTTAGATAGGAAAGTAATAAGGTGTCCAACTTTCTAGGTACTTTGTTTAAATTTATCCGTACTTTGGAATTTGATCTATTTACATTTTCAGGCTATCTATGACGACAATTAAATATTGAATCTGCGAATTAATGAAATATAAATAAATGCTACTCTTTACAGAGATCGATTAAACTTCTCCCGAAAATCGGCTATTTCTCAAGAGAAGCTTAATCGATTGTTCCGCAATGGTTGTAAAACGAGGTACGAATTTTACAATTTTTTACTCTCGCAGGTGCTCCGCTCCAATTTCCGCGGAACAGCCGGAGTATTATTCGCGATTGTTTGCATGCGATTTGATCGAGAGAAAAACGCCCCCTCCCGCCTTCCAGGAATTTCATTTCTGCTACGGCAATAAATAATGATAGAACTGTCGAGCCGCGATATCGTTATTTTTCACGGCGTAACCTCTGATGGATGTTGAGACGTATCTCAAGCCAGCGATTAAAAGTGTTTTTTTTACAAACCGATGTCACCGATGCGTGCCCGAAAGCGGAGCGAAGCGGGGCGGGGCGGAGGCGGTGACGCAACGAACCGTTACGAGCGACCGCGGATAATAATAATCGACGCGGGTAGGGGAGAGACGATCGCGCGCGGGACAATACACGCGGATTTTTTTATTGTTATATATTTTTTTTATTTATTGTTTTCTAATCGATTCAAGCGAGGCGCTCCCGCGAACGAAGTGTTAATATCCATTTATACTTTCGATTCTCTATCGGATAATATTGAGATACATATTTTTTTAGTGAAACGTTACGAATGAAGTGCGTAACGTGAATTTGTCGTCTTTTTGATATAAAGCAAATAATGGTTTTAAAGTGATTAAAAGTCCGCTTTAAATAATCTATAGAACTAGCGTTTTAGATTTTAACAGAGAATTTTACATATGGCTTTATAAATATCGCACATTTTAATATATGTTTATAATGAATATATTCTATTTCTTTTTAAATATTATACATTCTATATTACAATGAAATACGAATAAAAGCATGAATAAAATTCTCTTCTGAACTTTCTGATACGAATTACAGATTGTATAGAACATCATAATTATAATTCTATTTCGACTTATGTATGTATTTTATATATTTTATGTAGTTATGTATTCTGATTCTCATTTATTTTTCTTTCCGTACAAAACTAGACTTTTACTGTAAATTTTGATACGAACTATAAATTGTCTAAAGTGAGCTCTATGAATTAATTCATATGTTGTATATATATATATATATATATATAT